CCTAGGCAATTTTTGGGACATTCCGTGAGCATTGCACGGTTGTCACATCTACCATCAGAGCAGTCCATATTGTTGCTTCGACAAAAACACCTAAGAAAGGATATTTGCACTTTCCTCATCAAACGATTGTTTCAAATAAAGGCTTACATAAGAGAAACTGCCTTCTTCTTGCTTTCAACCTTATAGATACATTGTTCTATTTCCTCATAAACTGGAACTGGAGGAACTTCAACAGATGATGAGGGAAGTTCGCAAGCATTATCGTCTTTCTTAACGTCATTGCTCTCCGTTTTTACCTCAAAAATAGTAATTTCTCAAGAAATCATCGGATCTTCCCTTATCTATACCAAAGCACGAAAATGAACTTACTGTAGTTACAGATACAGGCTCCGCTGAAGTAACAGCGTCATCAGGAGATGAATGTGTTATCGAACAAGTCTCTGATTTTATCAACGGTTGATGGTTAGCCTCATTAGTAGAACAATCCTACAATAATGCGATAGAAGGTTGCACAATGAAAAAATACTTTATATTGAAGACACCGAAGAAAAAAATTAAGAAAATTGATATGTTCATAATGGATGGTCATTATCCTGTTTAAAAGATTGTTACAAGACGTCGAGATTATGCTCATTTCCTTTCTTAGCAAAAAACAAATCCGAAATTCAAGGAAGAGGAGGTAAAAAGCAAACGAGACTATTCATACTTGCTAAATGATAAAACAGTACGAAAATTAGTGCGGATACCTCTACGGCCATTGGTTTGTCTTCGTTAGGATATAGCCCGGATGTAGATACTGTGTTAGACTGAAAGAGCACTTCGTAAAAAGAAACGATATATTTTTGAAGAATAAAGTTCTGGGTAAGTCACACCTTAACCTCCTCCTCTGGGACTGGCAATGGTTGTATTTTCAAGGGTGCAGGGGGAATACTAGCAACTTTACGAATCTTTTCTTCTAAGCGCTTCCGCTCAAATTCCCGCATTAGAGCTTGTATGTTATCCTCAATGCGTTTCTTCTCTTCAGGTGTAGGTTGAATCTTTGCCGGAGCAGCGGGTACAGTGGAAGTAGGGACAGATACAGTCGTTGCAGTTGGAATTGGCCCATCTGATTCATCTCCAGAAGATACATCCATGTCCACCTGCGATAATGTTGCTTCATGTTATGGGATGCGTTGGCAAAGTGATTATACCTCGTCTCTTTCCAAGAATGGCGAGTTGCTGGTGCAAGGTTCTATGGAAGGGCCATCTTCCTTCTAGAATGAATGGGTACGATTGCTAACGTATAATTACAAATGGCTTGACTGTTCCTCAGTTAGAGCTTAAGAAAATGATAGACGTGGTTTCGAGTGTTATCAAAGGTTAAGTATAGTGTAAGTCGCAAAATTAATTCTGACAAAAGATAAATACCAGGGTAAGTGAGAGACATCTTCATACTTCGTAAGGATCGGCCGACCCTTATCGCTTATAAGCACAATAAGAATCGGCCAATCGAGGGTGCGCAGCGTTGCGTTGCGACCCTGTTGAATACCGATTTGGCGCGATTTGCCTCTACCCGGCCTTTCCGCACTTTTTTCTTCCGATTTGACTCGCTTTCTTTCTTCAGGTTGTGTTAGAGTTCTCAGAAG